GGGAAGTGAAATTTTGATAGGGAAAGGGGAAGAAAAAAAATTATTATTATTATTATTAATAATTTCTCTGACAAAATGAATGATTTCGTCAAATATTTTTTGCTTTTTTAAATAAATAAATAAATAAAATGAATGTAAATAAGCTGTTAAAAAAAATTTTACGCTTAAAAAAAATTTTTTTTTTTTCTTATATTTTTCATCATGGGAAAAAAAACACCCCTAATAATAATAATGAGAACAAAAGAACCCCTAAAAGCCAAATTCGAGTTTTCATTTGAATATGAAGATGACGATGATGATGATGATGATGATGGTGGTAGTGGTGGTGACGATGATGATGATGAGCTTAGGCAATTTTTCATTAAACCCAATTCTCTATATTTTTTTCTCATATCATTAAATAAATTTGATTTATTATTATTATTAATAATATTTTTTTTATTGTTATTAAAATAATAATACATTAATTATTTTTTTTTTAGCAATGTGGCGGTCATGGAAAAGAAATTGAATATTGGCCAAAGCAAAATTCAGTTTCAAAACAAGGATACGAATCAAAAACAAATGAACAAATAACACAAAACACTCAAAAAGGTAAGAAAAAAATTATTTTATTTTTTATTTAATATATTTTTCCCAAAAAAAAAAAAAATAAATAAATAAATAATTTAGTTTGTAAAAAAAATATTTTTATGTTAATGATTTCATAACACTTCTCTTAGGATTGGAAAAAAAAAAAAACTAAAACTAAGTGGCATTGAACTGAAATTCATTCACTTTTTTTTTTCTCTCTCTCTCTCTCTTTTTTATAAAAAACTAAATAAACATCTAACCAAGGGTGGAAAAAAGAGGTAAAAGAATAGGAAATAGGAAAAAAAAATTCATTCATGCACTTTTTTTTTTTTTTAATAAAAAATAACATTTGAGGGTTTTTATTATAATTTAAGGGTAATTATGCTACGATTATAAAATTTTAATTCCTATAGTTTAGAATAATAATAATTTAAACCTTTAAAGGAAATAACCACAAATAAAAAATCTTAAAAATCTTATAAGTCTTTTAAACACACACACACAAAAAAAAATCACTTATCTTGTGAAAAAGGGTTGAAATAATGCGATAGTATTAAAAAAAAAACGAAAAGGTTAAAAAAGGAAAAAAATTAATTTATTTAAAATGACCTTGAATAATTTGTTTGATCCCTCAGACAACCTTGAAGTTCATCCCATCAACAGACACATGGTCCATCCACATCCACATACACGTACTGTTACCCAATAATAATAATAATAATAAGTCATTAAATGTGTGGAAAAACTTTTTCCTTTTTGGTATTTTAGGGTTAAAAAAAGAAAATTAATTAACGATCAAAACTGAAAACCTACCACAAGAAAAACAAAAACAAAACAAACAAAAAGGTTTTGATTTAATTTTTAAATCTCATTGACAATTCAAAAATGAATGACAATTCAAAACGTGAAAAATTAAAAACTTTCCAATTAAATAATTAATAATAATAATAATAATAATAATAATAATAATAATAATAATAATAATAATAATAATATTTAAAAATGTCGTTTATAAATATTTTAAATATTTAAAAAAAAAAAAATTATATTAAAAGAAAAAAAAAAAAGTTGAAATTGTGATTTTTTTTTTTTTGCTTTGCTTTGCTCAACCTGTAAAATAAATAATAATAATAATAATAATAATAATAATAATAATAATAATAATAATAATAATAATAATAATAATTCCAGAAATGAATTAGTTAAATTCGTTTTCGTTTTTTCTCCTTCAAAGCAAATACGTTAAGTTCTCCGGGCGAATTTCCAGTACTTTTGACTTTAAAAAATTGACCTTGCTAATCCACAATTCTAAAACTTTTATATTAAAATCATTGGCGTAGTCATTTGTAATTTTTACTTTTTTTTTTTAGTGTTTTTTTTTATTTATTCTTACAACAACCACAACAACAACAATAACAAACAGAAAAAAAAATATTTGGGTGAATTTTTTTTACTCGTTTGTTGAGGTAAAATTTTTTTTTACATTTATATAATCAATGTGGATTTTATTTTAAATTATTATTAGATTTTTTTGTTTGTTTGTTTGTTTTACAACAACAAACAACCAAGTCATATTTTTAATAAAAAAAAAAAAAAGATGGTGACAAAGTGACAAACCATATAACATCCGCACATTTCCTACTAAATTAATTACTGACAAAACTTCTAAAACAATTTTTTTTATTTTTTTTTATTTTATTATATTTTTTTTTTTTTTTAAATGTGTGGAATAATATTTTGGAAATAAATCTTTCGGGGGAGCGGGGGGGGGGAAGTACTACCAACAGATGTAAGTGACGGATGACCAACCATTTTTAAATTTTGTGGTAGTAAAATTCATAGAAAATTATTATTATTATTAAAACTAATTTAATATTTTATGACGTATATTTTTTTCACATTTTGGTTTTCCACACGGTTTAAAAATAATAATTTTTTTAAAAATAGAATTAACAGTTATGTATCACGTGATTTAAATAAATAAATAATTTATTTAAAGTATGGATTATGTATAAAAAAAAAAAAAATTGTTTG